GAAGGGGAGAACATGGGCTGTAGAGAGTTTGTGGTAGGGTTGGAGGGAAGGATCTCCCAAAGGTGATTAAAACAGTAACAGCTAGAGGTAGGGTTTAGTGTGAGAGGGGAAGACAGAATGAGGCAGGATCTAGAGAGCAGTGCAAGTGAGTAGTTGGCTGGGAAAACTACAGAAAAATGAAGATAACCTTTCAATAGCAATTAAGGATCCAATGATTATAGCAGTACCATGCTTAGTACCAGCAGTACCACTTATGAACCTTCCACATGACTTTTCCATAGAGAAAATTGCCAACACAAAGCAAGAAGAGTCTTGGTGGCTTGTAGCATGAATGTCTGCTCCAGAGAATGGAAGATCTCAGTACTGCTTTTTGTAGCAACCTTCTTCTGTAGCCAAACAAACATTTTATTTTTCTGAATGATAGGTGATTGATTTGCCTCTTATCTGACAACATGTGGAATCTCCTGCTCAGAAATCTGATGTCTTCTCTGTCTGCCTTTGTGTAGATAAATGGACTTTCCAAAACAATTTGCAGTGTTTTTCTTGTTTTGTAAGAGCTAAGCATAGTCTTAATCAATACCTTGTCACTCTGTCATTGAAGTGTATTAAGTGATACCTACTTTTGCCTCTGTGATCCAAAGGAAGTTGTAGTGGATGGGAAGATGAGCCAGTGGCTGTGAAGGTCTGTTCTAATTGTCAGGCTTTTAGGACTATCAGGATGGTGCATGGAGACTAAAGGCAGAAAAGAGGAGGCTTTGAGGGATGAGTGAAAGCGTGTGAGAAGACAGAGCTGGTATTGTGCATATGGATTATGCACAATACATGCTGGATTAAGAAGTATCTGGTGCAGCAGAGCTACCCTAGATAAAATGATGGCAGAACTTAAAGTGTAACTGTTCCAATAAAGAGAACTGAAGGATGGATAGAGAAAGTTCCTTTTCTGTTCTATCACTGCAGGATAAAGATCTTCAGCCTGTATTTGTCTTTAAGAGAAATGATGTTACATCTGCAGAAATTATCCCATTTGCTGTTGTAGACTGAATGGATCACTATCAACTAGAAAGAGCTACACAATAAATGTGATCTCTGCAGACATTTGAGAGTTATTGCTTTGACTGTCACCTGCAGAAGCAAAGGGTGTTACTGCCAACATCTCCATCTGTTGTCCAGCAGCAGTTGTCAAGCCTGTACTTCTGATGATGTTTTCCTGTTAAAGCACATCAAGGGAGCACAAAGCTCTGATGCTGTCCCAAGGCAAACCAGCAGCTCTGGTGAATGGTTTAACAAATACTTTTGGTGCAGCAGCTTCTGACTGTGCCTGTGAAGGTCCTACAGTCAATTTCTGGCAATTCTGTGCTTTGTCTGCATACTGCTAAATGTTAAATAGCTCAAGTAATTAATTACAGAAGGTGAGGAGAATGCTGTGGGCTTCAGTGGTGAGGGTCTGTATGATTTGAGATAGAATGAAACAGGCTGGATGGAAAGATGAGAAGAAAAGTAAAGGCCATATGGAATCCTAGATACTTGGAAGGATATTTGAAGCTATGCTTTTGCCAGCTGTCTGTACCCAGCCACAGTTTCACAGCAGCCTTAGTGCCTTCCAACGTTATGCTGCCGTCACCCATCCTCCCAGCAGAGCTGAACACAGCAAAGCTTTGAATGATGATTTTCCAAAACAAGAAAAATTGTGCCTAGAACAAAGGCTGTGCTTGTGTATGCAAGGAAGTGCCCAAGGAGAAAAAAGGAGTATGTATTTTAACATTGGAGGAGGAGGGAATGTTCAGCAGTAGATGTGGATGTTCAGGAAAAGGACACGGGGAAGTAAACAGAGTGAAAGGGAAAGAGAATCACCATGAGACCATAACAGGGACCCTCGATTCAGAGGGAAGCCCAAAGGAAGGGTGCCAGACGTTAGCTCTGCTTACAGAACATATAGAATATGTAGCATCCAGGTATGAAAAGAGTAAGTGGGGGCATGCTCTTCAGAGAAGCTACTTTCAGACCCAAAGCAGCCCATAGTAAAGGAGCAGCTGGGGCACCCACCAGTGCCAGCAGATTGTCTCATCCCGTGGCATGGGCCTCTGCAGGGAGCACAAAGTGAGCATGGAGTTGCAGAGTCTCTTGGGTGGTTTGGTCTTACTGCAGTAGGGCAGGGAAAGTGCAGAGCATTTTCCTGGGCTTAGAGATGCCTGCTTTGTTTTCAGCTCAGCTGCTAACCCAAGGTCAGAACTAGTCTGTTTGCAGCTTTTTTGTGTCCTCTTCACCTCTTTGTCTGTAGATTTTTAAGGGCTATTTGTGTGGTCTCTCTGCTGGCGCACTACTAACTAATCTTAATTTTGATACCAATAAACCTTGATACCATGCACAACCTTTGTTGTAAAACTGTAACAATCTGCCCTTTGTATGTGTTCCACCATTAAGCTGCTCTCTTGAGTTCTATTTAATAATCAAAATAACTTATTGTAATTAATTAGTCCTAAGCTTAGCATTGAAGAAAGCACAAATTTGACAGCTTTCAGAAGTGAATGGAGGATGGTCAGAGAATCTATGAATATTTCTGCCTGTGTCCTCATCTAAGAACTATCTTTATCAAAAGAGGGTTTACATATACTTTTTTTTATATATAAATAATGTGTAGTTAAGACTTTCTTTTAAGATATGCTTTACACTTCTGGAATTAGTGTGTGTTTATCCTGGCACCATCTCTGTTCTTTAGCACATTGTTTACTTCAGAATACAGATCATGTATCATTTCTCAGAGGTTTTATACATAACACACTCCTCCAGGGTCTATTTCATGATGAATGAATAGCTAGGGAATATTATCTTAATATGTCTGGAATACCAGTGCTGGGAGATGCAACATCTAAAATAGGGAGAAGCTGTTTAATTTAATTTTGTCCCTCTCTAAGATCATTGAGATAATAAAAAATTACAGAGAGCACTATTGCAAGCATACAAGAATTTTTATTCTCTGAGCACTATAAAGAAGTTTCTTTTATGAAGGAGTATGTTAGTAAGATAAATATGCAGGAAAGCAACATTGTGTATTCTGAATGGCTGCATTCTCAAGCAAGTTTAGCAAACACTCATTTTGGATACATCACTCCAACAAACAAAGTACAGTTCCTTTTTCCTACATGAATACTGAGAACATTTCAGCTTCAGGGAGAAGCTGAAATTCCTGAATTTTTTTTGAAATTCACAGAATCACAGAATTGCAGAGGCTGGAAGGGATCTCCAGAGGTCAATGAGTCCAGCCCAAATTCCTAAAAGATTTGAAGAGGGGAAGTTCTGGAATTCCTAAAAGATTTCAGGGGGAAGTTCTTCACAAAGAATGGTGAGGAGCTGCAACAGGCTGCCCAGATAGGCTGTGAATGCCCTATTCCTGAAGTTGTTCAAGGTCAGGTTGGATGGGGCCCTGGGCAGCCTGGTCCAGTACTAGGTATGGAGGTTGGTGGCCCTGCCTGTGGCAGGGGTTTGGAACTGGATGGTCCTTGGGATTCCTTCCAACCCAAGCCATTCTGTGATTCTATGAATGTTTCAGAGCCAAAGTCACATAGATGTACCTGGACAGCTTTTTCAGAAAATAAGCATTTGTGTGTATTTAAATCTTTGAAATTAGCTTGGAGTTACAGTGCTGTTTGAATGACTGAATATGGGGTCTGCGTCTTCTCATTCCTTTTCCCAGCAAGTAATTTCTCTTGAATTTCACAACAAGATAAAGGTCAGACACCGAGTTCATTTTGATGGATGTTGAACTTTAGTGAAAATTACACTTGTGAAATACTTCCAGTGAAATAAAGTTGAAGGCTTCTGTACAAAGAAAAGGTCATGCAGAGGCAGAAAGCACATAGCAGTGCAGAAGTCTCCTCTTCTAGAGGGGTCATTTATAGGAGTGAAGGAGGAGCTTTATTTCAGTGCTCTTTCAGTTGGTGTGAGTATGCTAACTCTGCTGTGTTCAGTTAATTACGCTTTGTTCACATTACTGAGTGTAAATGTTCCCATTCTCTAACATGTATGTCCACCTGCAGGTGATGGTGGCAACTCTCTTGAAATGTGTAGCCATGTGAGTTGCACAGCAGCAGAACACATGCTAAAGCAACTGCAGCCTGCTGCAAATGAGCTAGACATTTCATTATTAAAAGTAGCATATTGCACTGTACTCTGCTTCCTGGTTCAGTCTGTTTTGGTGGGTTGTCTCCAAATCCTCGTCTAAAAGGATCTCTGATTTAGTGCTGCGCCTGGAGAGTTTGATTAGGATGTTCTGGCTGGTTAAGCATGTATACTGCTGGCTCCTCTCATTTATGGGGGTGCACATACACTTGTATTGCAGCTTAAGTGACTGCTGCCAACAGAAATAAATCAGAATATTACTGCAGGGAAGCTCATGGGCCATTTCCTTTTGGTCATCTTGTAAAGCCTTTTTGGAACTGAAGATTCTGTACTCTCCTTTTGCTGGCAGCAGTAAAGCCTATAAAGACTCAGTAGAACATGTAATCTTTTCTATGACTTCAGATTTTTTTCTTGCCAAGCAAACAGTCTTCCAACTGCACAACAGTGACAGGAACATCAGGAAGCCCTAAAACTGACACTATGTTTATTGGTAGCTACAAAAGCTAAACTAGGGTAGTTTTAAAATAACAGCTCCTCAAAAGAGCCTTTAGATCATTTGTGCTCGGTCTGCTAGTTTTATTTTTTTATTGTCCACTTTATTAATGTTTTAATAAAAAAATAAAAAATAAAAGTTTCGTTATTTATATACATTAGTTATGTATTTTGTACATGACTCAAGACAGTTCCTCTTCAATCAGTGTGGCTAAAATAAGTCCAAAGACTGGAACACCTGTGCTTTAGATATTTGCAGATTATTAAGAGTATCTTCTGCCTTGATCTTCGCATTGTCTCTCTTTGAGCTGATGCACTGGCCATTGCATCTGCTTCCTCTGCCTCTGGATTCATTATAATCTTTTGTCTTTTCTTTCTCCTTCTCCTTTAAGATTTATGTCCATCTCAAAGAAGGCAGTGGTGCTGACGGGCTGGATGCTTTGAAGAACAAGCCACAACTGCACAGTATGGTGGCCAAAAGCCTTTGTCAGAATGCCTCTGGGAAGAACTACATTATCTTCACTGGCCCAAGCATTACCAGCCTCAATCTCTTTGAAGAATTTGAGAAGCAAGGTGTGTATTGAGTGACTCACTGTGTTTTAATGATAACAGGCCTAAGGGCCTCCTGCCACTGAATTAAAAAGAACCTCCCAAAAGGCTTCAGTGAGATCTCAATTCCATGTATGGATAAGTTAGTCATCCCTCAGAAGAGATCTCATTTATGGAAAGGTACTATGAAGAGTGCTTTTTAATTTCCATCTATGATCTTCAAAATTTCCAAGCTAAAATGAGGGTATTTAAAGTCCTGGCTTTTGGACTTTGCCTTAGAAATGTGAGGTTTGATCTTCTGTATGACCTAGGGGACTTTTCAAGGCATTTCCCTATTTGCCTGTGATTTTTCTGTTCCTGTTGCTAAAAGACTAGGGATGCAATGAATCCTTAAAGATGTGTCTTTACAAGTCCTTGCTAGTTTAGTATCAGTTAGATGTGACTTCTTGGGGTGATAATTTTATGTTGTTGCAAAAGCCCTAGCATAGTTCAGCTTTTTGCTTGTACAAATAAGCCGTAGTAGAAAAGTTGGTATTTGGAAAGCATAATGAACTCTGCATTTGCCAGGAGAATGCTCTTCATTACACCAGTGTGGCTCCTCTAGCCAATGTCTTGCTAGTGCAGAGAGTAACCTCGAGACATCCTTTCTGTCAAATGCTTCTTCACCTTATGTGAAATAGCTGCATGTTACCTTGCTTTCAGAGATGCTAAAGACTTGTGACTCCCCTTGAATTATAGGCTCTCGCACTCTGGCAATCAGGTAGAAGTCATCTCAGTATAATTCTCAGCTAGTTGTTCAGTCAGCACAGCCTTTCAGGGTCATTGTGGTACGTGAAACACTTGAGAATATAATCTATAGGGGGCTACAGGGCTGTTCCCCTTTTCGACTCATGGCTGATGACTGACTTTTGCTTTTGGCATGTTTTCCATTGCAGAAGCTTAAACCCACCTCTGCCATTATAGTAATGCAACGTGCTCTAAAGCAAAGGGAACAACTCGGGATTGAGACAATATTTTGATTTGCATCTGAAACAAGCATACCAGTCAGCTATACCAGTGCTGTAGTTGAGCCCCTCAGTCCAGTACTTCAAACTGCACTGGCACTGAGGGCTGTCTCAGATGCAGAATTTAGCACCTGAGGTATTTTAGGTAAACTGGAAGCTTACAGAATACCAGTGTATTATCACAAAAGAAGTTGTTAATTTTCCAAATGCTGTAAACAGCCATATGGGAAACAGTTGGACATATCTATGGTGCATTGGAATTAATCTTCTCTTCTTCAGAAAATGACTGGTTATAACCATTACATTTTTAAGGCTAACAAAGCTGGAATGGAAAATGACTGGTCAGAAAAAGTACAGGATATCCCACATGCTCCCTGCACATGAGATGTGTCAGGTTTAAGCATGAAGAGTGACAGACAAAGAGTCACACTGTTTCTGCTCAGCTGGGAAAGGAAAAAAACAAATATGGCAAATGGCAAATGGCAAATATGGCATGGGGTTAGTCCATAACCCCAGTGGAAAAGGTAAAACCAGTTGCATGTTGTCTATTTACAGATAATTCACATTGTTTACAGAGGTAAATTACTTGTGGGCTTTACACTGAGCAGGTAATTCTAATTAACAGTTTCTAGCAGGTAGAACATCCAGTAATAATGTTTTTACCGCATGCAATTTGGACTTATTATTTGATCCAATATTCCATTACTATATTGATCTCAGTTTGACTCATGATTTGTTATTCTGCTTCCTGAGACATTTACAATATTCAACAGCTGCTTGCAAAATTAAATTTCTGATCTGGTACACTCCATCACTTCCCTTACTGGCTCTGAAAAATATCTTGGAATTCCTATATTATGCAATCATAGAATGGCTCAGGTTGGAGGGGACCTTAAAGATCATTTAGTTCCAAACCACCTGCCTTGGGCAGGGTTGCCAGCCATTGGATCAGGCTGCCCAGGGCCCCATCCAACCTGGCCTTGAATGCCTCCCAAGAAGGGACATCTATAATCCCAGTGCCTTACCACCCTCTGAATAAAACATTTATTCCTAACATCTAACCTAAATCTCCCCTCTTTTAGTTTAAAGCCATTCCCCATTGTCTTATTGCTATCGGATCATGTAAAAAGTTGGTCCTCCTCCTGCTTGTAAGCTCCCTTCAAGTACTGGAAGGCTGCAATGAGGTCTGCCCATAGCCTTCTCCAAGCTAAACAAGCCCAACTCCCTCAGCCTTTCTTCACAGGAGAAGGGCTCCTGCCCTTTGATCATCTTCGTGGCCTTCCTCTGGACCCACTCCAACAGTTCTGCATCCTTCCCCTGCCAGGGGCTCCAGGCCTAGACACGGTTCTCCAAATGGGGCTTCACAAGGGCAGAGTAGAAGTGGAAAATCCCCTTCCTTGCCCTTCTGGTCCCCTCTCTTTTGATGCAGCCCTGGATACAGTTGGCCTTCTGGGCTGTAAGCATACGCTGCTGGCTCATCCCTGGCTTTTCATCTGTGAGGACCCCCTGCTCTCTTTGAGTTCTTCTTCCAGTCTGTACTTGCTTCAACCCGAATGCAGCACCTTGTACTTGCTTTGTTAAACCTTATTAGATTCTCATGTGCCCACTTTTCAAATGTGTCCAGGTCCCACTGGTTGCTGTCCCTCCCTTCTATTGTGCCAACTGCACTACTCACCTTGGTTTCAGCAGCAAACGTGCTGAGGGTTCACTAAATCCCTCTGTCTGTGTTATTGATAAAGATGTTGCAGACCACTGGTCCCAAGATGGACCCTTGGGAGACACCATTTGTGACTGGCCTCCACATGGGAGTAGAGCTATTGACAACAACCCTCTGGCTGTGACAGTCCAATCAATTCTTTATCTACCTAGCAGCCCAGGCTTCAAATTCATATATCTCTACAATTTAGAGAGAAGGATGTGATGAGGGGGACCATGTCAAAGGCCTTGCAGAAGTGCAGGTAGATGACATCAGTTGCCTTTCCCTTTGTTCACCTGTGCCATCACTTCTTCATAGAAGGCCACCAGATTGGTGAGGCATGATTTGCCTTTGGTAAAGGCATGCTGGCTGTCTTGGATCTTCTCCACATCTTGCATATGCCTTAACATCTCTTCTAGGAGGATCCACTTATGATCTTTCCAGGCACAGAGGTGAGTGTAACTGGCCTATAGTTCCCCAGCTCATCCTTTCTCCTTTTCTTAAAAATGGGAGTGATGTTTCCCTTTTTCCAGTCACCAGGGACTTTGCCTGACCACTGTGATTTTGCAAATATGATGGAAAGTGCTTTGGTGACCACATAAGCGAGTTCCTTCAGAACCCTTGGATGCATGTCATCTAGCCCCATGGAGCAGATTCCATCTGCATGTTAGCTTTCCTGACCCCATCCCTGCACATTTGGACAGGATCCCTAGATTCTTCCCAGGCACTCATCGCCAATCCACTGCTTGTACTTTTTATATAAAGAAGGTCACAATGAGTGTGACATTCTTTATATAACGAGAGTGTGTCTGTTTAATAAGGATGTGGGATTGTTTGTGATTACCATGGGATACTAGGTGTTCACTCGCAAGTTTGGTAGTGTTGTTGAAGTGGAAGGACTGTGATAAACTATGAGAGATCAGATGCCAAGCGCTGGTAGAATCAGTAGGAGTTCTGGAGGAGAAGTAGAGTACTGACTGTACTGCAGAACAAAAAATGTGTTGCCAGCACCTGTTGGGATCCTGCTGCATTGGCTGTACATTTGGAGAGAGGCAGACAGAGAAGTCTGGACTCAGCCACCGAGCTGATGAATGCTGGACCACATGTTCCACTCCAAGAAGGGGATTGTGCTTGCTCAGCCCAGAGAAGGGAAGGCTTTGGGAGGGACCCAAAAGCAGCCTTCCCGTACCCTGGGGAGGTTATCGGGAGGATGGAGCCAGTTCTTCAGTAGTTCATTATAAAAAGATGAGAGATACAAGACGTAAGTGGAATGAAAGAATTAGCTCAGAGTAGATTTGAGGATTTTCTGAGGACAGTGAAGCAGGCTGCCTGGAGAGGAGTTACAGTCTCCATCCTTGGAAGTTTTCAATCCCAAACAAGATAAAGCAGACCTGTCTGCCCTCAGAGCTCACTCTGCTTTCAGTAGGGGTTTGGACTGAAGGCCTCCTAAGTTGCCTTCCAACCTGAATTATCCTATAATCTGTTGGGTCCTACGATCCTATGAATACTTCTGTGGAACTATAAATGCCATTAGTTTTCCCTATGCCCCACATGCATTCCTGCAAAAATCACGATGTTCTTTTTAGAAAGCCTGCTATGTAGCACCTTTGTTGTACAACAGTAAGAATACGCATCAAGTAATATAAAGGGATATCAATGAATGTAATTCGAAGGTCTTTGGAGATACCAAGAGCTGAGAAAACTTCAAAAAATATGACTGGGAACTTTGGTCTATTTCAAAATCTAAAACCTGAATAGATTCGTTTTCTTTTTCAAGGAACATTCAAAACATTTCTTTTTCTGGCCTCTGAATAGAACTGGAAACCTGCACTGAAATGCCCCAAATTCTCTGTTCTTTGAGCAGACAGCTGCTGTTATTTGCTGTGACAGTCATTCATAGCACATATTCCTTTTCACTCCTCAAAGCAAAAGTCCCTACAGAGGACAGCACATCCTGAAGCCTTATGTTTCCCTTGAGGATATGAACCCTAAAAATCCCTGTTGTGCTTTCTAAACCAGCAGGAGCAGCTGGCTCTGTACTGCAGAGCACTTGGACTCAAGCTGCAGGAGCAGACAGCTGGATGTCCATGGTGGTCACAGAATTGTTGCAGGGTCCTGTAACACCAAGCACATGGATTTAAGCAAGCTCACATCTCCTTGTTCCAACAGGCCCCTGAGTTGCCCTGGCTCTAACATGACCCAGTGTTGCATGCAGGATATATGGTTGAAAAATGTGTGCTTCTGCCTGAACTGACTTTAGCCTGGATACTTCTGCAAATGGTATCATTTGCAGCATTGAATAGGCTTCCTAGCTTCTCTCTCTGGCCTGGAGACCTGGGGAATGAACCTGGGTCACTCTGCCACACTTTCTCTTTTTACTTTAATAGCCCATGCTAGCTTAGGTGCTTGCATTTCTATACAGTTACTGTTTAAGACTGGTGGGGAGCCTATCTCCTTGTCTCCTGTGCACGCAGCAAACACCTGTTGTGATTTAGACTTAATTACATGCAAAAACTTCATTGATCCAGATGGGCTTAATTTTTATTGCTTCTATTGCTATAGTAACTGGGTGTTTTTTAAAAATTCTGTAGATCAAGGGTGTCATCCATGATGAGAGACACCAGTATATCTCAGAAGTATTGATTGAGCCTTTCTGTGCTGTGTAGCAGGGAGGTTATGCTGTGTGCTTCTGAGACAGGAAATGGTTCCCATTATTCTGTGTGAGGATTGAAATATCTGCTGAAGGCTTTCTCCAGGCTTACCGCCTGAGCTAAAGGGAAAGCTGCAATTAATTATTATGGGATTTCAGAGTTGTCTGTTACTATTTTGAAGATCTAGCGCAATAATGTAGTTATTGGCTTGGTTTTATACTGCTGCAGTCTCCTGGAGAGAGTTAGTATCACCCTTCAGTGAGTCATAAACCTTAGGCAGCTCAGGAAAATTCTCAGGCTTGTGTGTTATTAGAGCAGGAAAGTCTTACTATTGGCTAGAAGAAAGCTTTTTAAAAATTTAATATGTTAAACCTATGTTTGCAGGAACATGACCTCCATGACCTCTACAGTATTTGCGTACCTTAAAGCAAGATATTTAAAAAAAAAAAAAAAAAAAAAAAAGCAGGTGCAATTCCTCCTGTATTGATTCTAGGCCTGTTGCCATCAGGCTTTTCTTCTCTTTTGTAGAGGGAAATTATAGATTTCCAAGGATTGATTTATTTCCTTAGAAATAACCAATCAAGTGCCTTCCTCTTTCTGAATAAGCTCCAGTGCTGTGTTGGTTGACCTTCTTCTGACGTGAGTCTCTTATGTTTCTGATGGAAAAGTCTTAGATCCTCATAGATGTGCCCACAGAAACTAGATGAATCCTTGAGTATTTGCTATTACTGTATCAGTATTCCATTAATGTTTGTGAATCCTAGCTGCTGAGTATGCTTAGAATGCCAGGCTCTATATGAACCAAGGGCAAAGGCTGTACTTGCCCTCAAGAACTTGCATTGTTACAGGCAGACAGACAGAAGCAGAAGAGTCATGTGAGTGGACATCCAAGAATGCAGTAATGCTCTTTGGAATCCAGAAACTGTAATCTGTCATAGCATTTCCCCTTTAAGGATATCCAATTATCCATTGTGGAAAATTAAGCACGATGAAAAAATTGATTAAATGGTCTTAACTGACATATTAGCTTCAGACTACTGCAGACTTCAGCTGCCATATGAATGATGTACACAGATGTCACCTACTTCCATGCCCATCCATTTTTTCCGTGCAGGTGGATTAAAGCGAAGCCTAGGGACACTGAAGAAATTTCTATCCAAGATTTCCTCGAGTTTAATTAACTTGCTCAAGAAGATCTCCTTCTCCTTGAAAGCAGACCATTATTATTTCATGACCTAGTGAGAAGTTCAAGCATTTTCATCATTAATTTAGTTTCAAAGTCTTGTCTATTCCTACCTGGCTGCACTGAGATGTACTTTGTGGCATTGGATGTTATTCAGGAGGAGAAATAGGAGCTAAGATGAGCCTGGGAATAAAGGGCTGTGAGGGGAGCATATCATTTGGTTTTAGTTCTCACAACCCTACTCTGTTATCAGTTGTCAGATTAATCTTCCCCAGGCTAAGTTCATTTTGCCTGTGACAGTAACTGATGAATGACCTACCTTTTCTTATCTCAACTCATGAGCTTGTCCATTATATGTTCTCTCCCTCTCCTGCTGAGGAGGAGAGTGAGATTGTGACTTTGTGTGAACCTGATGACCAACCAAAGAAAACCTACCACAGGGCTTTTGTCTTCTTTCCCTAAAATCTGCTCTCATGAAACTTTGTGTTTCCATTTTCTCCATCATTTAGAGCATGCATTTTTTTTTATCTGGCCCATGGTTTCAGTAGTTCTTAAATGCTTATCCATGATTTCTTTAATAAACTAGATTACCCATGTGCAAGAAATGCCAAGATAAAGAACAAGAACTGGATGGCACAGTGAAGCAGCAGATTAAACCAGAGTTTATCAGCTGTGTATATTATGAAAGGTGTAATAGGAGCAACGTATGAGATTTCAGTTAACAGCGAAGATGTTACAGTTTTCTTTCCCTCCTTGCTTCCTCCACAATTTATTCTCTCAGTTAAACATGAAAGAGTCTCTTGGATCATAAATTCTGATTTGTTCCATAATACATATCACTGCTTGTATTTTTCAGTCCAATTTAAAACGTTGTGAAGAATATTACATGGGTTATAGATGTCATTATTGAGAAGACACCCTGCATTCTTCTCCTTGTCACTGCACTATGTCTGTGCAGGAAATGTCAGTACATTCCATCTTAAAAGCAGGCTTTCTGCACTTGTCTCATTTTCCAGAGCCATTCAGAATGGACACAAATGTTAGGTACTGCAGGCAGAAGCCAATTGGCTGATGTATTTGTTGGACTATAGCATTGTAGGACAAGCTGTTTTTTAGTCAGGTCAGTTGGACTTGCTCCGTTGCTCCTGCTTTTTGGGTCCATGTGATGTTTTGCTGATAATGAGTGCTTTTTTCACATGCAGAAATTTACTGCTGTGGGTTGCTGAGCGCCAGGAAGAGTGACTGTACAGGCCTACCTCCATCCATGCTGAACAACCCTGACACTCCCCAGTCCAGAGGACAATACAGAATAAGAATGAAGGGAAACATGTCCTTGATCTGCTGGTACAACAAAGGGCACTTCCGTTTTCTGACTAATGCCTATTCACCGGTTCAACAAGGTAAGCAGTATTCCTGCTGCTCGTGTGGAAAGTGCACATGCTTTAGGTGACAAGGCAAGATGAGTCATGGAGTTTGATTATAAGCCTGAACAAAGAGCTTGATCATAATATCCTAGAGATATGATTGCAGTAGTGATGACTTCCCTTTGTGTCTTCTTACAGCTATTATATTTTCCTATTCAAAGGTTAAAAAAGCCTTTTGCTAATGCAGCAGCCTTTGCCTGTACTGGTAAAGACTGTATCCTTTTAGGTATAAAGATAATATCTCTGCTGGTGGTCAGAGAAGGGGAGTGTTGTTGTATGATGCTATACTAGTCACATTTGCAAAACATCTTGTGGGATTGCTGCTGCAGAAAAAATAATGAATGACACGATATACTTAAAACTCAGAGTAGGTCCTACAATTAATTTGTTTTATCCAGTAAAAACACAGTCACAAACAAATGTATTTTTGCCAGAAGAAAATTAAGGCTTCCTGTTACATTAAACTGGTTTTGGCAGTTGATGAAAAGAAATGAAAACAGATAACTTGAATAGTTCAAATGATGGCAAAAAGTTTCTTGATGACTAAAATCTTTTCCATTTCAAAAATATATAAATATTTTAACTTAGAAACTATATGATACAACATGACAACTTAACTCTTTGAAAATCTGCATCAGTGGAAATGTTGCTTCAGTTTCTCTTCATTTTATTACTCAGAATTACGTGTAACTGTCTGAGACAAACCACTAAGTGTAAAGCCACCAATTCACAGGCATCAGGGAGACTCACATTCTGAGCCCCACCATCGTCTCTGCCACGAGCTATGCAGTAGGTGGGCTTTGGGGACAGGGAGAGCTAATTGCCCCTTTCAGAGAGGGGCCATGAGAGGCTGAAGTTGATGGTGGCCCTCCCAGTGGTTTAAGGTTCTTTGGTTAGGACTTGTGCATGTGTTGGATAAGACCTCACAGTGCTCACCAAATGCCTGCTGGGACAGCCAAGAGAGTTCAGGGTGAATCAGAGCAGAAAACTGAGAGGTTTTTTCAGAGCTGTGCTGGGGAGAAAAGAGTCTCCAGTGAAGGTCTGAGAACAGATGGAGGTTCAGCAGGAGGGTAAGAGTCCAGATTGCTTGCCTCTAATTTGGCATCTCTGAAGTCAGTGCAGCAAGAGTGGTTGAAGGCAACTTGACCACCAAAGTCTCCTCTAAATGAAGCACAGACCTGCTGAATAAGTGTGTTTAAGTAGGAGAGGAGTAAGGAGTAAATGGGACTGAAACCTACGTGGAATAGTCAGAGACTGGAGCCAGTGGGATTACTTGACAATAAATTGTGGATTTCTACATTGAGCATAAACGTTAGTGAGAGTAGAGAGGCCATGAAAACAAAACATAAAAACATAGAAGATAAGATGGACAAAGCAAAACCTAGAGTGAGAACGGAGGCAGGTGTAGCTAATAGTGAGCTATGTATTGCAATTTAAAGGAAAGTAGGGAAGGTAAACCTTGCATATACTTGGAGGGCAAATCCCACCAAGCCCAGAGGCACTGGAGGGCAGTACTCTTGTCACCGTTGATCTATGAGTGCTATTCTTAGATGCAGCACATTATTTATTATAGATGTTTTGAAGCAGTATGTCATAATACATCATCTTGGATGCTAAAAGATGAGTCTTATTCCTTTAGTTTTGCAAAAAAAAAAAAAAAAAAAAAAAAAAAAAAAGTCCTCTTTAGTCTGCTGTGAAGAACAAATTTTCTGCCTAGAACAAAATTCAGTGTTTTCTTAATTTCCCTTAAGTTTTAACTTGAGTTTAATTTTCTTTTGTGTCAGTACTGCAGAAGTCAAAAGCAATTTCCAGAGAGTAAAAAGTTATCCTTAATATAAACCAGGTGATATGCTGGTCCAAACCTTCCTGTCCGGGTGACATGGCCACATTTTTTTTTCCATTCAAGATCTGGAACCGGCTTTCCACACATCTCCAGGGCTGTGTTCTAGAAACAACAAAAATCCTCTCTACTTTTTTTATTTTTAAACAAAGCAAAACAGAGAAGGCAGCAACCTCTCTTGCACACAGCAGGATGATCAGGAACTCAGGAAGGAATAGGGAACCTCAGGGTCCCTGGTGTTGTGTAGTGTTCCCAGCCTGCTGGAGACTGTGAAAATCCCATGGCTTTGGCAGCATGTAGAGCTGGAAACATCAGCTTCTTTGCAATTAGGGGGGCAGGGCTGCTTTCTTTTGAGCGTATTATCTTTAAGCAAAAACTTATTGAACCCAAGATCCTTTGGAGAAGTAGCTTCTTTCTGAGAAGAGCTTTCATAGATGCCAGTTCTACTTAGAAACTATATATATATTAGACATTAGCTAATGATAAAAATGACGTTTGAGCTACACATGCAGAGGACAAGGACCAAAAAGCTGCAGGTGACATGGTCTCACCAGTGACTGGTGGTGGTAAAAGGTTGATGTAGGGTTTAACACTTAGGAGTATGGACTAGATAGAAAGCTAAAGGGAGACAATGGGAGCATGGAGAGGCAGTTGGAGAGGAGACAGTGGTAATGACAACAACGAAGCATGATCAGGAGCCAGCTGCTAATAACATCCTACTGACACAGCCAGTATCAAATGTTGCAGTCCCCTGGGAAGCTCTCATTAGCTTCTCTTTGCTGTCCATGCCTTTTCTGCCCACCCTGCCTTGAAGATTGTACAGTGGGAACCAAAAAAAGATGGGAGATGTGGAAGCATTGCTTTTGTGTACACTGCTTTGATAAGCAAGCCCCAGTGTGGTTCTTAGTCCTGGAGGAGCTGGAGTGAGGAATGCCTGCTGACATCTTTGTTTCCTGAAAAAAATTCTAATTGCAAAAATGGAAAGTCTGGGGTAAGATGCGGAATGTTACAAAATATGTTTCAGGACAGGGAAGCTCTAGGATTATAACTTTAAATTTACACACGTTCTTTCTGAGATTGAAATCATGGGGTTGTGTCCAAGTATGGTGAGACTTAGGATGGAATGAAGGCAAGCCCTTGAACATTAGTCCTTGTGCCAAGCTGCCTATCTGCAGCTCTGATAAAGAACTGTAACAAATTTACATCCAGATCAAAAGCCATATAGCACTTGGAACGCGAAACAATCCAAACCTAAAGCTGATGCCAGCAGCCTGCACCAGAGCGGCAGGCAGGCAGGAGAAGGCAGGCGCAGGCTGCAGCGCAGGCGGTGTTCTCCCCTGGAAGGCTGCCAAGGACTGAGCACAGTGATGCTGGGGAGGACCAGGAGGGGAAATAACTCATCTGAGGTGCCGGTGAGTCAGCTTGCTTGGGGCTTCCTGCCACAGAGACCTGCAGCTATGAATGACCCAGCTCCGAGGGGTTGCCTTGTAGCTATGGAATAAGCCTAGAGAAGGCCGTAAGAATAATGTGCATATGAAGCTATGTAATATTCTCAGTACAGAGGAACACTGCACAGAATACAATAGAAAGTGAGAGAGAGTGTGTGGTGCCCACATAGTTGACATCACAATGCATTGTTAAGGATAGTGAATACAAAGCAAATTGCAAAGGAAATATAAATTCTCCAAGGGAAGATGAGTGGGAGAAGAGAGGGGACATTTGCACCCTGTTCTGGAGGGGAAGAGGTAAGAGTGTTGAGCGTTTTAAAGGTGACATTGTTCTTGACTCATGAAAAATCAGGATTTAAAAACCCCAAATACATTGCTGCGTGGCTCAGCAGTAACATGACATTTAGTATGTGTCACAAGTCTTGCTTCAAAATAGAGCCTGCCAGCTAGGACAGCACAGGGAGCTTGACAGAGATAATGGATGGAATGAGACTTCCAGCTGAAGGAATGAAATGGTGAAGTCTGCAATCAAAACGTGAGGAGCATTTTAGGGATGACTGTAAAAGACTTGGCAGAAGGAAGGAAATGGGAGTTTGAAGGTTGAAGAAGTGAGGAAGCCCAGGATCATATCTGTACCGAAAAACAATGCTGAGAAACAATACAGCTTAGCCTTTACTTCTCTAGAAAAACACTTGTGCCCAGCAGGGAGCAGGGATCATCCCTAGACAGTAATCTGTAGCCGTGGAGCAAGAGATGGTCCATACCGTGTGGACCTGACAATCAAATGCTGAAGGAATATGAAGTCAAAAATGAGGAAATGAGGGAACAGACTCAGTAAGGTACTACAGATTTATTTCATTCATCCTTCCCTTCTACAGACAGCCACCCCTGCTGAATGGGAAGGATATGGAAGACTGGAGTAACAAAGGAAAGAGCTGGGGCAGTTTCTTGGAAGAGCATTGGGCTCATAAATACTGCGGTAGTGTTGGAAGAAGCCAGTGAAAGACACACCAAACAAACTGAGGCTACTCTTTTTTTTGTTTGTTTTTAGGTTTTTTTTTGTTTTTGTTTTTGCCAAGTAGCACCCACTGGAGTGGAAGTCCTGTTGCTTTTGCTCTTCAGGGGAGATATGAGGAAGGGATCTCATTTCAGGGGACTTGTTTAGGACTATTAGAACTCAAAGCAGGAAATATCAAGTTACAGCTCTAGATTTGACCACAACTCACTGTGAACTAGCAGAAGAGAAACTAATGCATTATTGGTAGGGGGCCACTGTAGGACTAGGGTAGTGGTTTTTCTGCCTGAAACGTGGTGAGAACATTTGTCTCTGTAACACCTTTTCACCTCCAACTAAATATTGATTTATCTTCCTTTTTCCCTTGTTCAGTGTACTATCAATGAAAAAAAATGTCAAATTAGCATCTCCATTCCGGGTAACAGAGGGGCCGCGTCCCGGTTTTGGGACAGAAACTTGCAAAAATTTATTTTATAATGCTCAGTGTATGCAAACTGTATCTTTCAATGGCTACACCTACTGTGTGGATTTAAAACTGTTATATTTCTAATTGATGCAGGAGTTATAATTAAGAGAAAAAGCGGAGAAATTCCATGCCCCTTGGCGGTTGAAGCATTTGCTGCTCACCTTAGCTATATCTGCAAATACGACGACAAATACAGCAAGTAAGTGAGAAGGGGTTGGGGGTGAGGGAGTTTCATTCTTTCATTGCTTCTCCATGAACTGCAGCTGTGAGCCCAGTCCTGCTTTCACTTAATTCATTTCTGTCAAAACTCTTGTTCTAATCAAAGATCAGAATCTGGCTCTGCACAGTGGTGAGAGCTGCACTGCTAGACGCACTGTAGAGAATCTCTGCAGGAGTATAGAGATGAATGAGCACTAATCATTAAGCACACTGCATTTTTTACTGCTTCCTTTCACCTTTTGAATAATCTCAAAGACCTGCCATTCTAGCTTTGGCTCTATCTACCTACCTACCAATCCAAAAAAGAAAATTACGAGTTCATGTTCTTAGCATCTTGAAAATGATTTGTAAGAGGAGTTGGAAAGATGAGCCAAGAGGCAGATGTTATTCTTGGCCACATCAAATTCAAGGCTAGGTTGAGAATTCAGCAAAGGTCCCCAAGTCTCTCAGGGTAGCTCAGTCTCCATTCCTATCAGAAGGTGGTGATGATCTGTCTTGGTGATATTTGAGCCACCTTGAGCCCGAAGATGCTCAGCTGCGAATACAGAGCCAATCTAGGTGGATTGTGAGAACAGAATATAGATATTTGGGCTCCTGGATTCCATTTGATGTCCTCATTGCTAGCTCTTAATGTAATGGAGAAACAGAGACAAGTATAACAGCAGTGGAGAAGCTTGGCTGTGGGTGTAGCAGTGAGATGCAGATGATTTCATGAACTGAAAACTGAGGAGAAAAAGCAACAGAGATTTTCTAAATTAATCTGAGCAAAGTCGCAAGAATTGGGTATGTGGAAAGCAATGTGAAAAGAGATTAGGTAGTAGATTTAAATGATTACTAAAATTATTGAAGAGAATATTCTGGTAATCCTAGAATTAGTCAGAACCTAAATATAAGGTGGTCAGTCTGTCCTAGTTCTTCTGCCTTATGGAGAAGAGGTGCTCTGCATACCAGCACTGTATGCTCTGTTTCTGCCCCCATATCCTCCCACATACTGTTGACAACAGCAGAAATAATTTTTCTCTTACAGTTGAAATAATTGAGAGAGGCATCAGCAGTATTCCCTAAATTGTAGCCTAATGGGCCTGAATCTTTTATTTTAGTTACAGTCTGAAGGGATTCAGACCAATGGCTCCCAGCATTTGGGTGTTTGTCACAGGCAAGCTCTAGGAGTATAGCATCAGGTTTTTATGATGCTATGTGCAGAGGTGAATGCTGCTGAGGTTTTGGCTCCTGAAACAAGGACACTGCTAGAAATTTCCAAAAGTAAACAGGCAACTAACTGTAAATGATTTCAAATGCAAAGTACGGAATTCTTGAAGATCATACTTGCACTTGGCAGTAAGTACTGGTTCTGCTTCCCTTTTGCATAATCTTCTTCTAGGGTCATTTCTTGCCTTCCAGATGAAAGTGATGGCTGAATACTGTTTGTTTATTTGTTTGTTTGTTGTCTTTTCTCTTGGCTTTGTAGGTATTTTATTTCTCACAAACCAAACAAGACCTGGCAGCAAGTATTCTGGTTTGCCATCAGCATTGCTATAAACAATGCCTACATCCTCTACAAGATGTCAGAGGCCTACCATGTGACGAGGTATAGCCGTGCACAGTTTGGTGAAAGACTTGTAAAGGAGCTTCTGGGCTTGGAAGACATCTCACCTTCCCATTGATGTAACGTTCTTGGAGGCATAGGCAGGAGGTGGAAGGTAAGCAGAAGAAAATACCACACCTGCAACAGCAAAGCAAGGAGCTTCTGACGCCACCAGTGCTGTCCTTATCCAAAAACACCAAGTGATGCCACTAGAGAGGTGGAAACTTTGTTCCTAGTAGCAGCTGGATGTAAACATGTTCTGCAGAAAGTGCCACAAGAAACGCTGACACAGAATTGCATATGTGAATGCCCTGTGGGTATCTGTACACTGGAAATGGACTTAAATTAGTTGTCTCTCAATGCCATTCATTAAACAGGGTCATCTTGTAAAGTCATGCTTGGGCTCAGTGCTTTCCACAAGCTGAGATAGCTCAGCAGGCCCAGGTGGGCATTGCATAGAACTCTATACCTTATTTGGAGTTACTCAATTCTAGGACAAGTAGTGTAAGTCTGTACCATGGACTGTGGTTGAGAGTGCCAACCACCTTGTAGGAACCATTGCTGTCCTCACAGTGTGCTAGAAGAAGCAGTTCCAAGACACGAACCCCAAATAGGCATATTGACTAACAAAACCTTTAAAGCAGGCAGCCAGGAACTGAGAACTGATTAAGACTTTTTTCTTTCTTTTTTTCTTTTTAAAGCATAAGGCAATTTGATCCCCTGTAGATCACAGCAAGATTAGAAGAAACCAAATACATGAGTAAATTTAAAATGGAAAAGCATGACACTGATTTTTTTTTTTTTTTTTTAAACCAAGATGAAACATTTTATACATGAACAGTGAGTGGATTAATACTGCCTCACATCTTAACTGCCATGGCAGTTAAAATCTGTTGGTATACAGATCAGAAATAAGAGCATAACAATCATATTTTTTCTTGATTTCAGCCATCTTGTATGTTGCTTTAAAGTCTAACATAACGGACTGTTAAGTGGATAACAAAAACAGTTTGTTTAATTTCCTTTTATAAGCGTCGAGACTTTTCAGTCCAGTTTGGAACTTCACTTGGCACACAGTTGGCAGGAAGAAAATAATTCACTAATAGCTGTGTGTTTCACATTATCACTGCAGGATGTTCTGTAGGAATTCTTCTCACTAGAACACAGGGTTTGTTGCAGTAGCTGTAATTAAGCAGATTACTTGTTTATCAAAATAACATAGCATTGTGTTTTGCAAAAAGAAAGAAGTCCAGTTGCAGCCAGAAGTTAAGCATCACTAAAACAGAGCAAGCCTAAAGAGTTCACCCGAGTCACACTGTAGAGGACAAGCATTGTCATGTGCTGGGGCCTGTGGCTGAGCAACTACAGTTTGGCATTGGTGGAATCTGAAGGCATTAAAGCTTTAGGAAGCAGTGGAGAGCGAGGGAAGTATGGTTGAACCAGGAGAGAATATGGAGGTGAAATACTGCCCTGCCCTCTACGCATTATTGATTTCAGTCCACAACTCAATCACCAAAAAACTGTCTGTATTCTAAAGGTTAACAGTGATGAAAACAGTCAGAGTTGTATTAACTTACAAGGCATAAACCGCGTTGCTAGAAGGACCAACTGATTTTTGGTCCCCAAGCTTAGCATTTCCTGAGAAATTTTATCAAAGAACAACTTGGGCTGATTCAAGAGTGATGGAGTGATTGATTGATTGAGAGATCAATGTAAACCTCACTAGTTTATATGAAGGGTCGTGAACATGAATTTCAGAACTGCCTGAATTCCATTGCTATGACCATCAGATATGCCAAGGCACTGCAAATGCGTATTGTGTAAATCAGCAGGGGCTGGTAAATGACTCTCTGGCTCAAAGAGAATCCTTGCACTGACAGCTGTCTGTTTCCACCAACGTTTTGGTTTTTGGAGTAAGCTTAGGCAGATCTCACCCGGTTGCAGGGAAAGTAAAGGGACAGCCAACACTTCAGTGGTTCTGCTTGCAGTACCACCTGGAGACTGCCCCACCTGTCCTGCTCTGCCTGCCAGCCACAAGATGAGTGACAACCTACAGGTTTCTTAAGTGCTCATTTTCTCAGTCCACAGCGTCTCCATCCTGGAAAAGAGAATAGCAAAGGTTACAACCATGTGCACTGGAGGTCTCAAAGCCTCAAGAGGAATGGGAGGGTTTGTACCACTGTAAGTCCTTGGCAGTGCTGGACTGTGGAGGGCCCTGAAGATGAATTCAAATCTCCTTGTCCCAGCAGGGAATGGAGATGATCCTTCTGCAGACTGAATGTGTGGTGTGGCTGGATCTTACCAGTCTTCTAAATATCCTAAGTGGAGGGGGATACAAACGTCCAGCCGTCAGTTTCCATTTCTTAAGAAACTCCAGAGATACCTGAAGGCAAATGGTGTTATTGTTCTGAGATCTCTGCTCAGGCAGTGCTGGCTTTCATTGTTACAGGATGATTAGTGACAACTTCATTATGCCCTGTAAGTTTATATGGCAGTCAGAGTCAGGCTAGTAAGGATAGGTGTGGCAGGAACTCTGCAGGTCAAACGTTGCATGAACAGCAGCTGCTGGGAGCCCATTCCCCTGCTTAACCAGAGCATTTGCAAGATGCTGACGCCCCCAGCAGCAATGGAGAGGCTTGCAGGGCTTCCTAGGAGCTGCTTTGCATGTCTGAGGAGCAAGCACAGCACTCTCCAGCTGTGTTGTAGCCCCTTCAGCTGGAGCTGGAGCCCTTTGCAAATTGTTACATCATTACTGTGTACGCTTGAAGGCCTGGATCTATGCCTTCCCATTTAGAAAATGCCTTTTCTTTTTCAGGTGTCAGTAGGTCCAAGGTTTTAGAACATTGAGTTTTTCTACTAACTTATGTTGTTAATTATGGGAATTACTTGAGCTAAAATGACGAGGTCCTAGCTTTTTGCCTCAGGGACTGGGTCCTGAGTAGTTTTCCCTAGAATTGGTGTTGATGGGGGATTACACAGTGGCTGACTATTACAGGGAAGATGCTTTAGTCTCCTTTTGCAAAGGAGAAAAATTTAAACAAAATTATAGCTTTGCAATGAATTTCATTTTCTTAGCCTTAACCATCCTTCATCATTTTGAACAGGTGCCCTAAGCATGCTCAAACATTCCATAAGTAAGCAAAAATATTTATATATATTTGTATGTACAAAATGCCTGAATTTTGGCTCTGAAAGCCAACAAGCAGAACCCACCAAAGCATAGTTTATATCCACAGATAACTGTTCCACCTTATCTTCTCCATCTGTTGACTTGGAGTGGATAGGGTTGAGGAAAGTTATGATTTTTCCTTGTTGAAAAAGCATCTTGCACTTTCTCTAAGTTACAATGAAAAAAAAAAAAACAAAAAAACCCAAACCAAAAACAAAACAAAAAACCCAGCAAAGTAATCAAGGAAGAAATAGAATGAGATTAAAAAGCAAAAGTTCATTAATCTGCCGCTCAGATTCTGTAGCATTTCCTTTACTGCAAATTGGCTGACTCAGATTTGGTTCTCCCACCTGCCTGTAACACTAAAGCTTCTCCTTAGGTAAAGGGGAAAAAAAAAAAAAAAGATTTAGTCTCAAAGTAGTGCAAGGATGCTAGTTGTACTGTGCACGTGTATGTTAATTGTGCAATGGCTTGTGAGATGACACAAAGTTTTCCTATCTTTTGTTTTGTTTTGTTTTGTATCCTTGAGACAATCTGGGTAGGAGATCTTAAAGCTCCGCAGTGGCTAAAAGGCAGTAGAAATGCCAACCAGGTCACAGAGAAACTTCTGTACATTTTTCTGGGAAAGAGAGTTTGAAGCTGAAGTAAACATGGGATCAGAAAGACTCATGTCTCTCCTGCTGAACTGAATTTTAATTCATCTGTACTTCTGAAAATGATTTAACTATGGTATGCAAACTCTGTTCCAGAGAACCAAGACCATCAGTGAGACATACTGACCATCTTCTATGCACAGTGCTTCTTTCAAGAAATGTCTGTCCTGCCATGATCCATTCATGGAAAGCATTTCTTTCCTAGTGCATAATATAACAATATGACAAGAGCTCAGAAGCCACTGTGAAATGGTTTCCACTGCTGTTGTCTTAGCTGAAAAATGCTCCAAGGGCTTGCAGAAACTCTGCCATTTTTTACTTCAGCCCATTTGTGCACTCAACACTAGGGCACAATTTAAAGACACCTCTTCTCTGTTTATTATTTCTTTTCTCTGGCCCCAGCTCTTCTTCATTTACAGTGACATCCCAGTGCCACTAATAGGTACAACTTTGCTTTCTTCAGAAAAATACATTTACCCATTTCCAGACTGGCATGAAGGAGAGCAACTCCAAACTCTTTTGTCACCTTCAGCTGTGCTTCTGTGGCTGTGGCTTTTTATTTTTGCTGAAGGATTGTTGTTTTTTTTTTTCCTTCTAGTATTTAGTAGGCTGCCTTGAGCTGTGGGTAGTTAAAGAACTTTCCACTGGCTTTGTGTCTTGCATGTCTTAGCATCCGCTAGTCCTGCATCTGATTTCAGTGATGAGCAGAGGTTTATGCTGCACTGATAGCTCTGTGTGTCTACCTCTTGGAAAGTGCTCTTACGACAGTGGTAGTCGTCAGATACCATTATCCTTTCACATAGGAGCTTTCCCCTTCATAATCAGTGAGGCACAGCAGAGATAAAGGCATGATAAAACTGTAAAATGGGGCTTGCATTCTTGCTGATTAAGTCCATGTTCTGTGTTTTCAGCAACTTTGTTCTTTGTCAGCTGTGCTTTTCCAAACTAAAACTGGGAGCAGGATGGACGTCATCCTGCTCTGCAGCAAGGGCTGTGGGAGCACAGCATGGATTCTTTGCACATACAGGCCCATATGAGTCAAAACCAAGCTGCGCTAAAGGTAAGAGAAAGCTGAATAAAACAGAGCAGCCCAGCCTGCCAGGGGAGCACAGAGCAGGGATATAAACAGAGAATCCAAAGCTCTGCTGTAGACTAGTCATCAGTGCAAAATTCAGAGAAATAATTACTAAGGCTGTCTTGAGGAAAGTATGAAGTCTTCCATTCATCCCTGCTGTGGAATGTGCCACAGCAATTTCTGATTACTGTGACTGGTGTGAGATTGTCTGTAAAACAAGAATACATCTCAGTCTGGTTGAGAAATACAAGCAAGTGAAAAAAAAAAAAAAAAAAAAAAACCTAGCGATGTTTTGGAAGGTGAGAAACTTCAGCTTTGAAACATTTATGTATTTGGTCTTCATTAACTAGGCTATTTTGCACAGAGCTCAGCACTTGCTTAGATGTAAACTATTGCCAGCGCTACTTGGTGTATGTTTCTTCTTGTAAAGGCTCTTTCCAAACCAACCTTTCCTTCCACAAGCATTATGAACTCGACCTGGAATGGCCCTTTTGTGGTCATCTCACTGTTGGGGAACAGCTGAGAATATCCACGCTTCTGTACAAAAATTCTCATTCTTCCAAAATTTAGCCCTGAAGAGCTTCCCTGGCTAACAATGCCTTTGGAGCTCATGCTGATCACCCCACCAGGTCCTAGTCAGTCTGGAAGAGGTGACAACAACAGAGTTGACCTTTCCATTTACTTTTGTATTATTACTTCACTGATCCTTCCTGATATTTTGAAAGTCACAGATGCAACAGGGTATTGTTTCTGAAGCCTTTACTAATTGCAGTCACTGTGAAGGTGTTCCTGTTTTGCCCCATCAGTGCTGCCCCACCAAGTTTCATATGGGCCGAAGAGATATTGGCATCACCTACCCACTGTTCCCATTGGAATGGCTGTGAAAGCTCTTAGCACTGTCCAAGGGGTTATGTTATGTTTTTGTTATCAATGGTTTGGTTTTCTTTTTCCTTTTTCTCCTTTTTTTTTTTTTTTTTTCTTTCCCCTTTTATTTAAACCCTTCACACTTACCAGACTGAGCGGGCTGGTAAGCAGCTGTTAGGTATCACAGAAAGACCTTACGTGGTAAATCCCTTTTGTATCACTCTTCTGAAGTAACGACTGCTAGCATTAGATGTCAAAGTGGTCCACACAATGTGTAGTGCAAAAATTCTATCCGTGAAAACATTACTCTGCAAAAGTGCTCATTTGATGTAACTGTAACAATTCTGGAATGCTTGGGGAATCTGGATGGAGAACCTAGTGGGAAAGGAGCATGGCATCATGCTGTAGGGCTGGGACATTCAGGATCCAATTGGATAAGCAAAGAGAGGCAAGATGAGTGCCCATACACCTCTGTTCATTAGAATCAAAAAGCCTGCAAACGCTTCAAGTATTTACAGAATGCTCTGGATTTCAAACAGAGCACTCAATTTCAGTAGTTACCAAAAAAGCCTGGAAACAATGAAAAAGAGCCCAGTACACTAGGTTCATCTGTCCAGAGCCTCAATCCACTCAGTGTCAAAGTCATGCTGTAGTCCTTTTTCTTCAATTAATTTGTGCCAAGGTGTGTGCAAAACGTGCTGAACTATTTGCATCTCTCTGTGAAACCAAGTTACTCATTTGATGGAAACCAAATTGAAGGTCTCACACTTACTTTTGCAGCCTGGATTTTTCCTCTGTTTATAAGCCAAATATTTGCCTGGCATTTCAGTGCAGAAATTAAAAATAATTTTATCCCGTGTTTTGAAGAGAGATCAGGGACAGCAAAACAAAGATTTTTGCCACAGGTGTGGCTAAGTGGTGCAATGAAGTGGCAGAGGGAACAGAAGAGGCTGGGCATGCAGAAGAAAGGAGCCAGATGATCCCTTCTAACTTACCTGCCAGCATGTGCACTCCCCTTCCCCTGCTGCCTTGAGTCCAAAAGAAAAGGCTGACGTTCAATACAGCCGCTCCACTGCTAGCTTCGCTCCATGCTTTTGCTTACACTGTGCACTTTGGTAATCACAGAGCAGGGAGTGTGAGGAAGGGAAGCCGAGGGAGTACCATGGGAGAGATGGCAGTGATGGGGATTATGGAAAAGGAATCTCCCCATCTGCATCTCCTTCTAGTTTATATATAAAATGTTAAAGTGACATTCCATTTAATGCAGCAACTGCACCAAACACAAAGCTGTCAGAGTGCTTTCAGAACAGCTCCATTGGGCTGCGCTTACATCAGCAATTGCAATTCTGTTGCAGAGTTCCACCTTCTTAAAAATTCCAGAGATTTCTGTTGAAAATGTAAATCCCACAGGTAAAGCATACACTGCAACTGCTTTCTTTTCTTTTTTATTTCTCCGAGCAGTTTTCTAACAGCCACGTCTTTTGGGGAAATGCATGTGTGTGACCTCTTCACAGAGCGATCCACAGCTGTGTTTCTGCATGGGACAGGGAACTACTTTTGTGACACTGGATTTGTTCTACACAAAGGCACGCTTGCAATAAATTTTTACAAGTTTTGTACACCATGAGCTAAATTCTGAGTTCCAAAAATGTGAAGTGTGGCAACAATAACAAAATGGATTTATAGTATCACTCTGATATCTTGTCATGTGAATTTATTTCTTCAACGATGTTTGTTTACAATCAGCAACTTTGAAATACAGTCAGATATATTACCGGTTGCTTTTCTGCCTCGTTCTTTTCTAGAATAGCTTCGGTATGTTGTTTAGGTGAAAGGATGTGGAGAAAATACCCACAGATAAATTACACATTCTCACTCTCAGACTACTATAGGCCAAAAACCTGATGCCTTTACCTGGCCACTGAGTATACATATTCTTCTGAAAGAACTGAGTGCAGACAGAGCCCCAGGTCTCCAGCACAGGTTGCACACAGAAAGGGAAGGGCCCTGCTGCCCCCAACACCCTGGTCAGTGCCTCCTGCTGCCCCTCAAGCTGATCACAGGGACAGGGGCTCCAGACATCTCTGCTGAAGAGTGATGGCTCTTTGTCCTTGCTGCTCTGACCCTGCCTTGCCGAGCTTTATCTGCACCACCAGCAGTACGTATTGGAACCATCACCCACACACCAAGCGCGTGGCATTGGCAGAAGAAGCTAAACACATATCGCATGGTTGAAACCCTAATCCAGAAAGGAAGTGGAAACCTCACAAGAGAAAACTTAAGTGAGGCTACAGTATCTCTTTGCCAGCAAATAAAGGAGAGATTTTCCCCATGCCATGTGCCTGTGTCCCTCCAAGGACCAGGCTGTATAGTGTGTGTGGCTCAGCACTAACCTCTTGCTGGGATGTGTCAGGTGCCTGCTGTACCTTTACCTTGCTCACGATGTATTTCTTCCTAGCAACCAGTATTTTCCATGGGAAGAAGTTTAGTTAGCATCTAAATTGTCCAAAGAAAAAAACAGTTTTTTGGTGAATGTAGAACATGACCAAAAGCAACCAGCAGTGCATCCCTTGAC